TAATTTTAGCTTTTACATTTAAGTCTATATCCATTTGGAGGTTTTTTTGAGGGGGTTATGGTGAAGTGTTTTAGCTAAAGCTGCCATAACAAAATACTGTAGACAGGGGGCTTCAAGAACAGAGATTTATTTTGTCCTAGTTCTGGAGGCTGGAAGTCCGAGATGAAGGTGCCGGCATGGCCAGTTTCTGGTGAGGACTCTCTTTGTGTCTTGTAGATGGCTGCCTTCTCCCTGTGTCCTCACATGAGAGGAGAGAGAAAATAAGGTTTCTGGTATCTCTCCTTAGAAGGACATTAATCTTACCATGATGGCCCCATCCTCATGATCTCATTTACACTGAATTGTCTTTCAAAGGCCCCAAGGCCCCATCTCCAAATACCATCACACTTGGATTAGGACTTCACCATATGAATATTGCAGGGGGAGGAGGTGGGCACAATTCAGTCCATGGCAGTGAGGTAAAGAGCTGTTAGTTTTCCTCCTTAATGGGTATCCAGTCATTCCAGCACCATTTGTTTCTTTTTCATATTGAATTATCACAGCATATTAAAAAATAAATAAATTGGCCATATATGTGGTGTCTATTTTGAACTTTTCATTCTTTTCCAGTGATCGTTATACTTTATATATACTTTTAATATTTTATAACAAGTATTAAAATTGGGTAGTAGAAATGCATCAAATATGTTTTTTCCAAATTGTTTTAGCTTACTCTAGGTCTTTTGCAATTCCAAATACATTTTAGAATCAACTTGTCATTTAATTTAGAAAAGTCATTTGGGATTGTTATTGAGATTACAATGAATCTATACATTGGCTTGGAGAGGATTGTTATATGACTATAGTGGCTTCTAATTTACAAATGTGGTATATATATCTCCATTTATTTTGGTCTTCTTTAATTTCTCTCAGTCATATTTTGTGGTTTTTTCAATGTACAGGTCTCACACATATTTTGTTAAAACAACCTATATATATTTCATATTTTCAAGACATTATAAGAGATACTCAAAACATTTTCCCTTTCAATTATGCATTATTTGTATATAAAATAAAATTGATTTTTGTATATTGACCTAACCTCACTAAATTCACTTCTTACTTCTAACCTCACTAAATTCACTTCTTAGTTCTACTAGCTTTTTGTCAAGATTCTTTTAGATTTTTCCCTTAATCTATTTAAGGGTAAGGAAGTTTGATTTTCATTGCTCTACACTCTGATTTTCCCGCAGGCAATACCATTGGAGTGTAACTTATTCCAAAGTATTACACATGGCAAATTAGAGAGTCCCTGTATATCTGCTGACTCTTCAATGAAATAGGCACCTAGTAACCCATAAAATTATGCTCCAAGCACCAGTTAGCATAAAGACAGCCACTCAGTATTTTCCCCTTATTTGTACTCCAGTCTTGCTACACCAGTCCCATTTTCGTCTCAAATTTCTGACTCATGACAGGTAACACTGGTTTTTAGTCTTAGACATCAAGTTTCTAATGATCGTTCCAGCATTTGAATGCCGACTTCTCCCAAGCGTTTTGCTTGGCTTATCTCTCCTCACATTTCCAGTGTTTGGCTAAGAATATACCTTCACAGAATTCTCTAAGAATAGAGGTAAATAGAGGTAAATAGAAACTTCATTCAGAAAGTGGAAAAAAACACAAATTACATAATTTCTGAGGAAAAGTACATAATCATGATTTCTTAAATGCCCATTATGTGACAATACTGTGTCATATGCTGCTTTATATTCACAAACTCAATCTCTCCATATTTATGTAGGAAGTAGAGATTATAATTCTTCTAATACAAAGAAGAAAACTGGAAGACAGGTCAAATGGCACATGCTAAGTTATTAACAAGTGACAGAGCTATGACCTAAACCTCGTTCTCTCTGATTCCCAAGACAGGTAGGAGTGTGTGTCAAGATGATTTTTAGATATTATTATTTATTTTTTTAAGAAGTTATTCTGACCAACAAAAAAATGTAGAAAAGAGTTATCTCTTAAAACAACAAAACTAAACAAATACCAAAACAAATATAAAACAGAAAAACCTTGAGGATTATGGGCCTTACCTACTCTGAGATTTTATTTTTTAATGTATCTTCAAGTTATTAAAAATTACAAAGATCATAGAAGACCAATTAATTTTGACTGTCAGATAAGACAAGTTGCCTATCAGGTAGTTTGTTTTGGTCGAGAATATCAATTTAATCACCTGTGGAGAGCCAGTATGTTCCCCTTAAAGACATTGGAGGAACAAGAAATTGGCAAAAACTGGTGGACAGGTACAAATGGAGTGAAAATTCTACATAATCACCAGAAAATAAAAGGAAAAAACCATACCTGTTATTTAAAATCCTGAGTAGGGCGCCTGGGTGGCTCAGTTGGTTAAGCGACTGCCTTCGGCTTGGGTCATGATCCTGGAGTCCCGGGATCGAGTCCCGCATCGGGCTCCCTGCTCAGCAGGGAGTCTGCTTCTCCCTCGGACCCTCCCCCCTCTCATGTGCTCTCTCTCTCAAACAAATAAATAAAATCTTTAAAAAAAAATAAAATAAAATCCTGAGTAGATGACTTCTGAAATGAGGGAATAGGCAGGTAACATATGGAGGTTCCTCAAAAATTAAAAATGGAAATATCATATGATCCAGTAATGCCACCACTAGGTATTTACCCAAAGAAAATGAAAACACTAATTCCAAAAGATGCATGCACCCCTATATTTAATACATCATTACTTATAATAATCAAGATGTAGTAGCAACCCAAAGGTCCAATCACAGATGAGTGGAAAAGGAAAATGTGGTGTGTACGTGCACACACACACACACACACACACACACACACACACACTGGAATATTACTCAGCCATAAAAAAGAATGAAATCTTGCCATTTGCAACAACATGGATGGAACTAAAGGGTATTATGGTAAGTGAAGTAGGTCAGACATAGACAAATACCAAATGATTTCCCTTATATGTGGAATCTAAAAAAAAACAAACGAACAACAAAAAACTCAAGCAGATGCATAAATACAGAGAATAAACAAAAAGGAGGGGGTAGGGGAATGGGAGAAATAGGTGAAGGGGATTAACAGGCAAACTTCCAGTTATAAAATAAAATAAGTGAGTCATGGAGGTGAAAAGTACAGCACAGGGAATATAGTCAATAATGTTCTAATAACGTCGTATGATGACAAATGGTGACACATTTATCATGGTGAGCACTGAGTCATGCATAGAACTGTCAAATCACTGTATGTCAACTCTATGTCAATAATGAATTTTTTTTTTTTTTTTAAGATTCCATCCATTTATTTGACAGAGAGAGACAGCCAGAGAGGGAACACAAGCAGGGGGAGTGGGAAAGGGAGAAGCAGGCTTCCCACGTAGCAGGGAGCCTGATGCGGGGCTCGATCCCAGGACCCTAGGACCATGACCTGAGCCGAAGGCAGATGCTTAACGACTGAGCCACCCAGACACCCTCAATAATGAATATTAAAAAAAAGACAAATAGGAATACGTAGGAGAAAAATTCAAAGGAGGGAATTCTGGAGATAATGTTATTACCTAATGAAAATAAACCATCACTTTTTCCAAACACACTAATTTTTATGGCCAGTAAAAAAAAAAAATGTATCATAAGCCTTAGGTCAGTGAATAAGTTATAATCCCTTTTCAATAACCACATAATTTTAAAAATAGTGTATATGCCTAAAAATATTCATTTTCTTTTTTTTTTAAATATTCATTTTCTTAAGAGAATATTTATTTCTTAATAGTTATCTAGAATGTGATTACTATTATTACTGTCAGGCTCTAGGTGGACTGAAAATAGACAGTTGAGTGAACTCACAGCCACTAAGTAAACATAGAATTGAAGGCTCTTAGAGAAACCAGTGTGGGAGAGAGTTTAATATTATCTAGGCAAAACGGTCCAGACTGGTAAAATTACTTCAGCTCAGCTCAGGGTTTTTCCCTCTTCCTTAAAATTTTGAAAGACATATAGCCTTGGCCTAACCTAGATGGATATTATTAGAACCTGACCTTGAATAAGTATTTAATAGTTTTGTAAGAACAAAGTTATGAAACTAAAATTGCTATATCAAGTATACAAAACTTCACTATAATTGTCTTATAATGCCACAGATTCATTTTCAGAATGTATAAATCATTTTCCCAGTGGGAAGACTGATACATTAAGTATTTCTTATAGAGAATCCCCAAATCTAAGTAGGTCTTGTCTTGGATGAGTGACAACAAAATCACAAAGGGTCATTGCACAAAGACATTCATTTATCTGGTTGAAGTTCATGTCTAAACTCGTGTCTGTAAATAATGATTATGAAACAAGCATTTGTTTAAGACATTTATGGATTCCAACCATATGCTATGACCAAGAAACCAATGTATTTGCTTTGACATACCCTATTTAAAATCTGGGTTATGCATTTCATATATTATGGATTTGCCAACATTTCTTCAGTCACTCTGAATTAACATTTACACTTAATGTTATTAACATCGAAACCTAGATAAATGAATACTGAATTAACATATCAGAAACCTAAAAAGTAATATATCAACAATTTAGTATAAAACTCCTTTCAATTTTTTTTGCTTATTAAAAACTCACAAAAATAATGCCAGTAAGGACATGTTGAATTTCATGGGAATCCTATTGCACTGAACATATTATAGGATACACCAAAAATACAATATTGTAATAATAAAATAATATATTGCATGATTAAAATAATTATTAAATTAGTTTGAAGCCAGTGTAAAGGACTGAACTGTTTTGAAGAGTGTAATTAACCTGTCATAAAATGAGTACATTTTATTCAGATTATCAACAAAAATCTGAAGAAATTATATATTTGGTGATTTCTACCCTTTCCCAAAACAGTGATCACCCTGGGCACTAGTGTACAGAACCTGTCCTTCAGGTGTCTATTTGTCACCCACCTCCTTAGTTGTTGTGGCACTTAGAGCTTACCTTCCTGACTCAAAGGTAAACCACGTTGAATCCCGTCCATATCTCCTCAGGGAGCTGAGAGGCCACATCACCAGTTTGACCTTGGCATTGTGGATATCCCAGAGATAGATATTCTCATGAGTGATCTGCATTGTGCATTCACCGTAAATATCCAGATTTGGTGTAGGCATAAGATAAACATTGAATCTCTCTGCAAAGAAACAACGAATGGAACAAATTAAGTGAAGAGAGGTCTGACTCTTGATAGTAACACTGTATTAATTTATATACCTACCTACAACCTTCAGAACGCATTACCATGTCCCTTGGGAATATCGATAGTGCAAAACACTACCCCTTCCCATTGGATGTATGAGACAATGAGCTAATTAAAATATCTTTGCTCATTAGTTCATTCACTCACTCATTCTACACTCTGTGTTGCATGTATTCTCTAGAATGAAGATGAAATGGTTAAATTGTACCATGGAAGCATAAGGGTAAAAGCTAAGTGAGGTCTCTGCACAAATGATGCTTACTGTCTGCTTCTTCACACAATCTTAAATGCATATCATATACCTAACTCCTGCAAGGAATGTCTTACTTAATTTAAGAGGAATTTACTCAATTTTACCTTTGTGTTACAAAGTATTTAATGCACACTTAGACTGACTCTCAAAATACATTGTATTCACAGTCAAATTCAGCATATGATAATTGCAGGTATTCATTACTGCTTTCTGTAGGACTTCAGATACTGTTTTGGTAAGCAAAATAAAAACACAGCCACTTTCATTCTTGGATATTCTAGAGTTGAAAATCTGATTATTAGGCAATGATTCCAAACCTTGCTTTATAATTTTTTGTGTATCTCAAAGGCTACTACAAAATTCTGCAGCCCTTGATCCACATTTAAATGCATTAGATGCACTTCATAAAAAATGAAGTTAGTTCATAATTTCCAGGAAGCAAAGAACTTGATACAACCCATAAAGTGTCCTATATAATATCCCTCATTCCTAGCACCATATTCTTAGTTTATAGTAAGTAATTATTACATATTGGTTAACTATATGAATGAAATAAATATATCCCATGATGAATATGCACCACAAGAATTGAGGAATTATTAAAAAATAATGTTATGATAACAAAAAATTTAAGAATTACTGGCAGATACATTTTTGTGAGTTTGAATTTAATTGTGAATCATGTTTGAAAGGCAGTGCTGTTGAATTAATGATTTTGGGAGGCATAATGGTGCAGCTGCAGTTGAAAAAGGATTGATATGTTTAGGAATATGCCATCATCCATCATAATGCCACAATCTTAAACACTGAATGTTTGCTGGTACTAAGCTGGAATTATCTGTATAACAGAATCTTTTCTGTGGCAGGTATTTTGCTGAGTATTGCTTTGCTGATGCCAAAAAAAAAAAATTCAGATTCTAAAAGGGTTAAAATGGATTTAAGCATAATAGCTTGAAATTTACTAACCATATGGACAATAATTATATTCAAGAGTCTAGATATTTTTGACCAAAATAATCTAATGATTCAATTTTTTACTTAGATCATTGACCCCTAAAACTATATGTATATGGATTGCACATTCATTTCCTACAGAAAGGAAAACAAGATAAGTTATATATCTGAAGAAAAGAAAGATCACTCTCCCATTAGTTATCTGTAATAAAAAGTATATATATATGTGTATATATATTCTATAAATCTTAAGATTCTTGTGTGCAATCAAGTAAAATCTCAATATTTCACATTAAAGACATCACTCACATTGCCACCACAATTCCCACTCCAGTGGGATTACAGGTAGCCAATCAAAGGGGCCTCATCTCATGTAAGAGTATAAATGAAAGTTGGACCCAACAAAGTGACTCATGCATATAGAAAACGCCTGAACAGAAATCTTCTTTTCTTTGGTCAAGACCCTCTAGATAAAGTTCAGCTTTTACAGTTGGAAGTAATCATATGTCAGTGACATCTGTTGTGCAGAGGTAAAACATTTGTTATAAAAGGAGAATGTAAAACATTCTTCTAAATTTCTTCCTCTCCATCAGTTAGAGTCTGAAGGTAGCAACCAAAGAATCATTGCCAAAATGTCAAGAAATAAAACTTCTTCTAAAATATTGAAATAAACATCATTAGCCATTTTAGCGTTGTTTAAGGCTGCACTGACCCTTGATGTTCACACCCATAGTTTGATACTGAAAAAAGAACATGCAAAAAAAAATAACCCTGACATCGAGGACCCTGTCCTCCACATGGATGATACATGGTAAATTACCTATAACCTAGGGGTATTACAGAGGACCCAAAAGAACCATTGCATTTTCACTGAAATATCTGTGTGCTCTAATGTTAGTAGATAAAATCTAGAAAAAATAAACAAGAGAAAGTACAATCATCACAATGGACATTGAGGAAACATGGAACTGAAAAACAGAAAAATAATGAATTGGATTTAATAAGATTCACATGATGTAGGGCTCTTGATGTCAAAATAGTGAGGTTTGTTTACAATCAAATACAAAGAGATTGGATAACCTGTCTGGAGGGAGTCCTTCCAAGGGCAAGCTGTAGGCTATGTAAAGCAGGTGAAATGTATCTTCCATATCCTTCTTGCTACCTTCTATTTCCCTAGTCTTACCTAGCAATTCACATTATCCCCTTCTTGTTATGATTTGGAACGCTCCAACCTTCCTTTCAAAACTATTTCTTTCTTCCTACAAAAGGAATTATTCTAAGAAATTTTATTTTCGATTTTTAAATTTTCAAAAGCCATCTTATCCTAATGGCTAATTTCCAAGGATTTGAGGTTCAGTTAACATGTAGACTAATTCTAATTTAATCCAGCAGAGGATGAAGGCAGCTCAAGTTATCTAGTAAATTATTCTTCTTTGATTCCATTGTCATGGAAAAAATGTTTCTGCATTTGCTGTATTTTATGCCCTTAATAATGTAAAATATGTTGCTTCATTAAAATTTGTTATGGTTTCCATTGGAAAGACCATTTTAATATGGAATAGCTAAAATTGGCTCCCCCGAAATGACTTTTTAAAATGTTTAACTTTGTGAAATGCTTGTATGAAGCACGTGTTTTAACCATCCTCTAATCATGTCATTTTCTTATTTAAAAGCCCACCTTCGGTTTTACTACTGAGAGCGTTAGTGTGCATCAAAGTTACCTGGAGGGCTTGTTTAAACACAGATTGCTGGGCAGTCCTCCACCCTTATTGTTTCTGATCCAGTAAGTCTGGGCTGGGGCTGGACAATTTACATTTCTACTTGTTCCCAGAGGTTGTTGATGCTGCTGCTCTGGGGACCACACTTTGAGAACTGTTGATTTGCTAAGCTCATTTTAGAGTATTGCCAAGGAATTAGGGGCATTAGAGGAGCTACGAGGGATGCTTTTGAAAGTGATGCAATGTTCTAGTAGAACAAACCAGCACATTTAATTCAAAAAGGTTCTTTAATCTTGGCTCAAATAAAGTAATCCCATTTCAACTGACTCATGACTGATTTGGCAGGAAAGAGTTCTTATGTGAATTGGAACAAAAGAAGTGAGAGGCATGGGGCACCTGGGTGGCTCAGTTGGCTAAGTCTCTGCCTTTGGCCCAGGTCATGATCTCAGGGTCCTGGGATTGAGCCCCAAATTGGGCTCTCTGCTCATCAGGGAGTCTGCTTCTCTCTCTCTCAGATAAATAAATAAAATCTTTTTTAAAGAAGTGAGAGGCATAGAAAGAAAGGAGGTATATGAAAGACAGTTTTCAATTCATCAAAATATGTATGTATACTCGAATTATTTTCTTTTAAAGTAACCAACAATAACAATAAATACATTGTTAAGGAGCACCAAACAACACATTTCCAAGTACCCAGAAGAATTAGAAAAGAAACTAGCTGTTTAGTATTTATGCTGCCAAAGCAAGCACAGAAATTAGCTGTTTAAATAACGATAATAAGGGGCACCTGGGTGGCTCAGTTGGTGAAGGATCTGACTTTGGCTCAGGTCATGATCTTGGGGTACTTGGATCGAGCCCCACGTCGGGCTCCACACTCAGCAGGGAGTCTGCTTGTCCCTCTCCCTCTGCTACTTCCCCTTCCCTTTGCTCATGCTCTCTCTCTCTTAAATAAATAAAATCTTTAAAAAAAATTAATGATAATGTCCTGAAACATGAATAAAAATTCTACTAATATTAGGTCTTGTGAAGACTGCTGAATGTGTGAAGAAATAAATTTTTGAAAAGGTTATGTAAAAAATTAGATTAAAATGTATTCACATATATAAACTACAGAATTCTAGAGTGAAAAAAATCCCAAACACATGACCCATGAAATTGTATTTTGATAAAATTTAGGTTTGTACAATGGTTGATATATGAGAAAGCATAATTTTATTTTAAGTGGCTAAAAACAATAGCAAGGTGAAATATTTACAAAACTAATTATCATGTCCAAGGAAGATGCTTACTATTATTGGTTCTGCAGTTGTGTTTACAAGGGCATTTCTACTCTAGGGTTGGATGAGGAGATCCAAAGGAATAGACCATGCAGAGGGCCTGGGACCAGAGTTAAGGTGACAACCACAAGAACAGTCTCAAGGGGATTACAAAACAAGGTTTGGTCAAATTGAATTGGACAAAGTTTGGCAAGAAAGGGTAGCTACACTCCGAAGAAATGGTCTTGGAAAAGGCAGAGTGAGACCCCAGGTGATGTTTGGAGATTGAATGGGTCATCAGCCCTGAGAAGGACCGAAACCTTCCTTTCTCAGCCAATGATGTTTTAAATAGATCTGGTTTAGGGCAGGAACAATCCAAATATAGCTATGAGCTTGAGCCTGACAGGTGGGGACAAGTGGAACATGTAGGGGTTGCAGGAAGCAGAAGATCAGAGATGCAGTTTCTAACATGAAATGAAACATCATCTAGTGAGTAGAAATAAATAAGCAGAACACAAAAGGATGATGAGCTCTTTGACCAGTTTCTTAATAATTTCCATCTTTGAACAGTGCAGAGGGAAAACTGGTTTTAAAGAAAGAGCCATACTAAAAACAAATACATTTGCTCACTTATAATTAATTAGAGTATTTTTTAAAATACCGGCTTTTAGAATTTATGTATTAAATAATTTTGTGCATTTAGCACATAGTGAACATTCAGTGCATTGTGACTACATGAACATAAAATGCATC